GTTAGAGGAGAATAAAAATGTTAACTTCTCATGAAGAAAGTTCAACAGTAACATTATCCTGTCACCATAGAGTTGATTAGCTCAGTTGGTATTAGCTTCATGTTTAACACACACACACAGTACGAGAATGGAATTAACACTCTCAGCAAGAAAGCAAGCCAGCATTTTTACCAGAGCTTTAAACTGGTCTTTTAAGTTTTAAGAAGTAACTGACTGGCTTGAAACTAGTTACAAGCTCTGGAAAGACTTTCCACACAAACTTTATGATGGATTCCAAACAGCTGATGCAACTCATTCCTGAAGCCGGATCAAATTGCGCTCAAACAAAGTTTCATTATTTAGTTATGAAACGAGGAAATACTCAGAGGTGCCTGTGGTGCAGAGCACCGAGAAGTCCACAAACAGCTGCTGTGGATCCTCACGGGCCAGCTCTGGATTCTCCTATATAGAAAAGTAAAGGATTAGACTTCATCTACTGTAATGTCTCTGCAGAATGAGATGGGAGGAGGAAGTGGAGTCCGCCAGCTCGGGACTGCCCTTACTTTTCCTGGGCCTCCCACCCCTCCTGATCGTGCAGAACAAACATGCAGCGCCCTGCACGACTGTGAGACTCGTGCTTTTGGGTGCAGAGGGAGATGAAACAGCAGCGGATCTGTAAGTGACTTGCAATGTCTCTTCTCTCCTGTGCAATCATAGAAAATGTACAGCAATGCAGACTTTAAGATTTAGTCTGGAAAACTGGTGCTGCACTGGCACTACATTTGCCTCGCAGCTGTACTTGTTACTTTTCCAAATATGATTTTTACATAAAAACATAGGATCTTTTGGAGCTTTTAAAATGCAGTACAGAAACCTGTTCAAACAAGCCGAATCTACTTGTGCCTCTTGTGACAGGTTTCAGGTCAGATGTCTGTGTGTTATTAGCAGTTTCACCAAAGAGACCTTTCCTCTAAACTGTTGAGATGGTTTCATCACATCTACAGCGTTGTATTGGTACTTTTACTGGAGTACTTCTTCCACTACTGTGACATTTTACTTATCACACTCACCTTGGGATCTGCAGAATACAGGTGCACAAATGCCTTGTAGGTGTCGCAGCCTATTCACACTGAGAACAGAGGCATGTGAGATGTGATGATTCTGAATACAGTGATATCACTCCTTGTAATATCGCTTGTTTTAGGCTGTTATGGATAATGTTGTAAGTCAGTGAGAAGGGCTGATCTGTGGCAGTATTAGAGTTTTATATGATTTTTGCATCAGTGTGATGAACTACTTCATTTGTCAGGTACTGCTGTAGCCAAGACAGACTTTCCTTCCTGGTTATCTTTGTCATTAACTGTTTCTCAGTTGATCATTATTGGTCTTTGGTTTCATCTTTAGCAAGGTGTCTTAGTTTACTGTATGTTTTGTATGTAAAACTACTGGCAGCAAGACCTGACCAGAGTACAAACTACAATTTCATTCTAGTGCTGAAGCCTGCTTCTAGGGTGGAGTGTGTGTGTGATGTCCTGCTACAGCTGACACTCAGTGTTGCATGCACCTGAAAATGTGTGAATAAAACTTACTTTACCTGTCCTTCGTTTGCTTCTTAAATTTAAAGGCTAAGCCCGATGGTATTCTGTATTTATCATCTTGTCAGCAAGTCCTGTGCAGTAGTTGTACAGTGGTTTATTCTGACTCAGTCCCACATACACCATAGAGACCAAATGTGGATTCATCCGATGCTGTTTCCTCCTGTTTGTTTCATTAAAAACCAATGAGCAGCTGATTTAGGAACCAACAGACTTTTTAAAAATTTTATATTGTATTTGTGATGTGTTTTAAAGATCTTCAAAGGTCTTCATTAGGAACCAATGGGCCTGAAGCTGAGCGTCACAGAAACAGCAATTAGGTTTGTCTGAAAAGTGTTAAATATTTGAGTCTACACGTGGGAAATGATGACAATAAGGACATTACAGATTAAAACCAGGCTGTTCCCTGAAGCAAATAAAGTTCTTTTGGGAACAGATGCCCGTAGCTTTTAAAGGCTAGGTTGTTTGAGTGTAGTTGGTCCAAAGAGCCCAAGCAACAAGCTGAAAGTCATTAAAGCCCATGTTTGTTGAGCTCATGTTTGTTAAAGCCCAGCTTTAACTATTGCAAAGACATGACCCTCCCAGTCAGCAATGTTGAACTTGAAACCTGTTCAAAAACGTGCACAATATGCACAAAATCAGGATTTGGGAGTGGTATTAGCAGAAGTATTTATTTTTAACGTGAACTTGTGTGTAAGATCTGGGGAGCTGCACTGTGCTCGGTCAGTCACACTGAAACAAAGCTGTGAATCCGCAGCGCCATGTCCTCCTTTTTAACATGACTGCTATTTTTCTCATAATTACAATAGGTTTTTAAAAGAAATCTATTACACTACTGCAATTTCATTTGCAGAGCATTTAAAAATCAACAAAAGACAGCTGCATATGATGCAGCAGTTAAATTGTGACCTATTTAAACCGAAGATATCCACATTCGGGCTGCCACATGGATTTGTGGGAATAACGAGACAGGCAGCTCACTTGGATTTCTGTTGAAATGATGCTCTCGCAGGCAGTTTTTTTCTTCTGCGATATGGATATAGCCAAGTTTAACAATAGGTTTAAGCTTCTCCAGTCAGTTAACCACAGCGCATGTTGTTACTGTCCATTTGATGTGCGCCAGCACATCAAACGATTCCTCTCATTTATAATTCCTCACTGAAATGTTTTCCCTGCACATTTTTGTTAGCTGCCTGGTCCAGTTCGGATGGATGCATGTCACAGTGGGTGCTTTCACACCTACAGCGTTTAGTTCGATTGAATCTGGTGCTGTCCTCCTGGAGAGAACGCGTACCGAACCAAAACGGGACCAAAGGCCGTGGATGAGTGATTTGAGGGCATTATATTATGGGTAGATTTTATTTCCTGTCACCCAAAACATGCGTCAGGATGAATCGTGGGGAAACTGTACGACTTGGTTTAAGTGGTAATAATGCAAGTAACGTAATACAAAATAACCAGGGTGAAAGCCCAACCCGCGCATTTCAACCTCCATCCTCTCTCGTCACAGAAACGTGGACTTTCCTCCTTTATTTCTGTTCTCGCGGCAGTCATATCTGACCAATAAGCGGAGAGAACGTTCTGGCGTAGTTTTACGTGACGTGTTTTGGTGTGCTTGGATTTTTCTTTGTGTGAAACGAAACCGAACCAAGGAGACATTGCTACATGTTTACAAACTCGTCAACTGATTCGGACCAAAGCAAACGAATTAAGGTGTGAAAGCACCCACAGAAACAGTCTGTAAACAGCTGTTTGACATGGAGGAGGCGGGGTTTATGACTTATACTGCAACCAGCCACCAGGGGGTGATCACGTCGTGGTGGCGTCACTTCTAGCAGCTTGACAGCCTGTCCATCATTTTTACCGTGGATGGTTCTGACCTCCGGGATTACGGTGTGGTTTGGCAACCTCGCTGCGGCGAAAATCCGTAGTACAGATTTACCACAGCTTCATATCATCTGTATCAGTCACTGCAAAAGGAAAGCCCCAAACCAGCTCCTACCATCCAAAAAGTCTTACTGGAGTATCAAGTCACACCACCCGTCTGGGCAATATCCACAGGCAGACTGCTGAACAGCTGACATGTTGTACCTATAATGTTACTGTGTAATAATCCCACGCTATACTATTGCCACACCATGGTTACTGTGTACTGTATATTCTGTATTTGTTGGCGTTTAAGGGACTATATTTTTAATTGTAGTATCCCCTGATGAGTGATGTACAGTATGTGATGAGTGTGTATGGTATTTTCATTGTATTTATTTTAATACATATGAGAAATGATCTGTCTACAGTATGTCCGTGTCTCTGAGCTTTATCTCACAACACAATAATCTGACTTTGTATTATAAGCTTGTATTATTCTCTACTCAAGTGAAAAATTGTCTTTGGCCCATGTGGCAGTAATTAGAAATGTGAGGTTTGTATTAACAATATTTCAATAATGCAAAAACCTAAAAAGTACATGTAATATCACAAGTGAGGCAGTATATTTCACATGTAATCAAATCTCATACTGTACAGACATCTGCTTGCCTGTCCTGTTGATCTTCTCAGGACTCAGATTTATCTTAAGACCCTTAGCTCTTGGTTGACAGGATGCTTTTCATGCCTTGGATTGTTTAACAACTTTGATTTGTGTTCAGCTTTAGAGAGCAGCTCTTTCAACTTTAAAAAATGGCCATCAGTGAAGCAAGCCAAGAATAAAACCTTGATCCCATGTGAAGAGGAAGGAGGGCTCGACTGAGCGGCGGCATTTAGAGTTTTAATAAAAGAGCCTAATTACCTTTAAATCCCAGCAGCGTTTCTGGCCGGAGGGAGGGATATGACTCATTTCAGTCTGCTGTCGATGTGTCACAGCCAGTTGCACTCGAGCTGTTTTCTTTGACAAATCAGTCTTTCTTTGGTCTTTTATCAAGGGTTTGTCCAGGTTTTCTCACACAAATTATAACTATTATGCTTGGGATTTTTTTGTTTGTTTGCTTTTGTGAGAACTAACATGGTCAAGATTTTTCTGATTACTAAACGTGCCCCCATGCACTTTGGGAAGCCACAGGTTTTTTCAATTAGCAGAGCTTTGCCTTTGTTTTTACCAGAGCACTTCAGAGGATAATAGTGCAAGGACAACTTGCTAATGAAAGAAGTTCTAGGTTGTACAAATGTTTCTCTCATGTCAACGAATATTTTTCCCATGTTTTATATGGTGAAAAATGCAAAAATCAACCCCTCAGAAAATCTCATCAAACATCTGCCCATTAGCCAAGTTCCTGTAAATGTTGCCTTTTAATTCATGGCAACTGTTCACAAAATAAATCTCAAAAAAAAACAAAAACAAATGAAAAGTAAGAAAATAAAAAGCTTTATCTTGCTGGTGGACTGTGTTTAAGCTGTTTAAGCTAAGTTCTTGTTATATCTGTGTTGTAGGAACAAAACCTACGAGTCATCCCAAAATGAAGGGAAGAACAGGTCTTCTCTTCAGCCTCATTGTAGCAGTGTATTCCTATGGCATCAATGCTCAGGCACCAGGTGGGTTGGGTATTTTGTTGGTGCTTATTTGAGAGCTCCATTACAGTATACAGTATGCTTGTATTCATGTGATTTACTTTGCAAGAGCCCTGAACAGTAAAGTAGATTCTGCAGAAGAAAAGTGGTGAATGCACCTTTTTTAACAGCTTTGAAATGAGAAGAAAACTATATATGTATGTATGTGTATATATATATATATATATATATACTCGAGAAGAAGTCTGAG